GGTGCACCGTGACGTAGGGCGACAAGACCGTTGGAGAAAACCTGGACGCACGGTCCTTGTGCTCGAATGTCGCCGATCGAATACCTCGTGACGCGCGGAATAACCACACGGTATCGACAAAATAGCGGAAAGGAACCTTGGAGGTCTACTTAACCTGCGACAAAGTAGACCTACCCATGTGGCGATATTAATTGTCGCCATTTCGGTAAACTAGTTCATATGGGGCCAAATATTGGGAGTATCGCTCCGATATCGAATTATGAACATTTTGATTAATCGACGGAATATTGCATTTCCGCTGTTATTCCCAGGGTGTCAATATTCAATTTTACAGGAGTACCTACGGCAACGATACGCGGGGATTTAAAGGGAAATATATAAAATTCGTTTTACACCTCGAAGTAAACCGAAACCCAGGTTACCGGATCGGGGGTGAACTGGACCTCTTACGAAAATAAATGAAAGCCACGGCGCTCGTTTTCCTCCCATCCTTGTTATCTTTCAGATACTTCGGCGGGTATTTTCGACCGGTTACGATCGTTCCGTACTAGTCGACTCGTCTCTCTAATAGTAGATTTGAAATTTTCCTCCGGCTACTCGTTTGACTCGGGGTCAACGGTCTCGTCGAGTAGGAGTTACACGCGACGCGTGCCATGCCAATCGCGGGGATTCATTTTGGCCTGGTCGCGGAAAATTGCCTGTCAATTTTTACGACTGGCGTAATTGTTTTAAAGTTTTGCACGCGACCCGGCTAAGTGGAACGCTTCCAATTTCTTTTTTCCCGTCACCGGTCCGGGTTCTTCGGACATCAAGAGGAGGCCCTTGGAAAAATGAATGATCGCCGGAAACGGGGGTGCAGGTTTCGCGTTGATTTCCTTCCAGTTTTCAACTCTTTCTTTTTCTATGGGAATGTATACGACGTTTCGTGAAGTGATTAATCGATGCTTCCGGTGGCTCATAAGTTTGCTGTACACTCGCTGTAATCGGCCGTAATTTATTATAGCGCCGTGCAATACGTGTAAGTCATGCAAACGTGGGATTATCGCGTGCTTGAAGGAATTGCGAGCTCATTGTTATTAGTGTCTGACACCTAAACACGTGCACTCCCACGCGGGAGATTTTATTGTTCCTATTTAAGGTGTTTCTAAGTCGAAGGATGTAATGGAGGGTCCTTGAGGTATCTCTTGCTCCTTAACCGTTTGAGTTCTAGGGGGTATTGAAAAAACACTGTCGAAGAATCCCGAACAGCGCAACTGCGCTTTCTCTAAATGAGTACGAGAAGACCCAAACAGCGCGATAGCGCTTTGTTTATTTTATGTCGATGAATCCCACTCGGCGCGATAGCGTTTCTTGAATTGTAAGATGTATTATTTACACCCTTGCGTTACGATTTAAATTCCAATAGCGCGTGACATAAACAACAAAAGTGTCGGTCATACATCGGCCCATTTCACGGTTTGGCTGAACGTAACTACTCATACGGTTTGTTTACATTTGGCCCGATTGACATACCACGTCTCTCACACGTTTTGTTCACGTTTGGCCCGATTGATTTACCACGTCTCTCACACGATATTGTAAGTTAAGGGGTTAAAAAAAGGAGCTGTGTAATGTGCTTGGGTCAGTGAGCGACTTTGACAATCGGTGACGTACCGTCAGTTGTCCACAACGCTCGAAATGTGCTGGGTTTTCTCGACATAAAATCTGAACAGCGCAATCGCGCTGCCTGGGACTCAAACGGTTAATCCGTAGAAAGTGATTTTACCGACCGCGCTTTATCTCGTATTTACATGTATATAATTTCAGTAATCATATTACATTTTCAGCAGCATTTTATATAGTAACGAGCACTTAGGTAAAGAATAAATTATTATATCGGGAAACGTGCAAAATTATATGCACATACATATTTTCATCGGTATTGCATGTACGCCATATATACGAGAGAACGCCACCGATTTACGACAAATTTTAGCGCCTCGGTCGAATAAATATTTATAAAAAAGTAGAGAGAATTTATAACGATTTTGTTTGACAAAACTAAGAAACGTTACTTTTCCTGGCATTGATCTACAAAGGATAAATAGTGCTCGCTGCGCCCTCTGGAGATGATAAAGATCTTCGTTACCACGAAAATATCACATCTCGATGCATCCAATGGGTAACCGTACTATGTGGTCAGTTACCGACAGAAACCTGTACTGAGGGAGGTTAACATGCAGAGTTCACGATTCCTAACCTACCGACCGCGAGTAAGACCTTATCAACAAAAGTAACAAGGATTCGAGATCCAAGAAACTACACTCCGCTTTATCACTTCATGTACTAATAGTGATATGAATGCACGGCACGTGAAACGAAATTCTCTCGTAAGGCCGAATTAACATTCGTCAGTAAAGTTGTTTTGTGAAGCGTTACAACGAGATAAGAATGCCCCGACATTAAGCAGAGCAGATTATACGTGTAAATATGTAAATAAAAATGTAAATCCGGGCTTCATCTCGAATTCGCCAACGTGAAACACCGTCAAACGGACTTAGTGATTAGCCGAGTCATAACTTAAGCTCGACCTAGATTTTAAGCAAACTGGCAGCCGATTTCGAGACCGGTAACGTATTGATCAAATGCCAACGACCACGTGGCCATTAAACCTCCAGTGCATGCGATTCAACCTCTGTTGCAAATTCCAATACCTCGTCCAGTATTCAGTAGGTGAGGTTTAGAACATTAAACTTCCGTTAATGAACATTTCAAGGAGATACTGCACGAGCTCTTGCCCTACTGTTCAAGCTAGAATATCTGATTATTGAACTTCATCAATCATTTATCGTTAGAAGAGGAAAGATAAAATCCACGGAATTAATTTTCAAATTTAATTCCTGCAGTGATAAAAATTTGTGAATTATTTAAACGTGACCCATTTATCCTTCCGACCTTTCCCATCGAGGGTGCATTATTTCGTAATATTGCAAACCTTATTCCCCTGCTTGCCTAGAATTTATTCGGTTCGATGTCTCGAACAACGCGGATTTTATTGCCTGAATACGAAACCGCCATCGGCTTCCTGTAGTGGTCCTCTATTATTATTCCGGCAGCAATACCGGCCGTCTCGGTTCAATTTAATGGCCAAGTGAAACTATAAATATCCCCTGTTAAAGTTAACAATTCAATAGACCCTGTTGCAGCATAATGAAATATGCCCGCCTCATTCATAATACGGCATACCATTAATTTTCCAATCTACAGCAGCCATCATAAACAGGATAATATTGTCTACATTTTTTATCATCTCGTTCACGTTAATGCTCCCATAAATACTGGCAAGATAATTCAAATTCCTAAAAGATATACGAAATTAAAAATATAATTTAGCTTGGAAAGATTCGAGGTTAAATCAGTAAGCAGCTTCTTCTTAAATTGAACGCAACAAGGGCCGTGATATCGCATATCAGATGTATGAAATTCAATCGACCTTAAACAAGGCGATTACAACCTACTCCAGGGAATGATCGAATGGTCTAGGAGGTTCATCGAAAATCGAGCTTTATCGAAAAACGTTCTCATGATAACTCAGCCTGAGATATTACGACCGGAGGGAATCGAAGTGAAATCAGTACGCACCATTTGCCGCCCGCTGAGGCGCAAGATCGAGATATATCGCTCGAGGATCTCGTCGACCGATCGACATTTGACGATGCAATTTCCATCCCGGAAAACCCGGCTATTCGGCGTCCCCGACAGGAAAAGTCGTGAAAAGGGGACACCGTGTTTCTAACGCGTGTACGGAATCAAGGGCCCCTTCGTGGCGCTGATCGATCACCTTCGATCACAATCGATCCGTCTCGATTGACCCGGCGGACCGTTTGTCTCGAATTAATGATGGCTTCCCCGAAGCTGGACTCGAAAAGGCATTCCCGAATTCTTTTTTTCACTGCGTGATTGGCCAGAATCCGTCCCTTGTCATGCCGCTCTCTGACTCTACTAATCATGATTAATTAGATTAGAAACTTATTCGACGTCCCAGCGCATTCATACGCCATTCAAGCTACCTACAATACTTCATTAACATTTAATAAAACTCACCGTTATATATAAATTCACCTTAAATATCTTACAATCCCTATCATATGATATGCCTTACGATCCCGAATTCTTGAATTGTATACTTTCGGAAATAAAGATTTTATGAATTCTATACAGCAGAAGTAAAGATTTTAATTGAGAGGTCACAAGAGGTAAAAATGGATATCCGAGATAATTTCCGGCACAGAAAAAAACTCTCGTCGATTATCCCTCTTTCCAAGGGGGTGGACCGTGATTAAGGGTCGTAGAAATTCAAGGGTCGTGACAAAATCGATCACGGCGCGCGTCGATCGCGTCCGATCATCTCGATTGATCCGAGGGTATATTTATCTCGAAATGATTACAACCTCCTGCGAATCGGGGTGCGTCTCGAGGAGGACCACCGCGTTTAGCGCGTGACTGGGCAAGATCCGCCCTGCGTGGCGCGCGACGCACGAGAGCTTTATCGAATCACGCTTGGAACGCTCACGATGCATGACCGACCGATTAGCCACATCGCGTGTAACGCGCGTGTCGGCAAGGACGGCGCGTGAAAAATCGGGTTCATTCATCTTCCAGAAGTACGAGAGCCGGACACGGTGGACCCTCTCGCCGTGGCTATTAATCCGAGCCAGACTAGGAGCCGGCAATTGCAAATCGAGCTTAATCTTGCTACGTAATTAATTCAAAGCAGAAGTAACTAATGTGTACATTTGGAAAAGATTGACGTTAAAAATGATACCTACGAGAAGGTTAAATGCTACCGGTGCAGTTATGACGATAAGGGGGGGAATTATTTCCTATTCAAATATGTCTCGCCGTAAAGGCGGAAAAGGGACTTTAGCACGAAATGGCACGCGTGACGGAGGCAAAAGGTCTTTGGAACGAGTGATCACTCCAAGGGTGAATACTCGGTGATGTAACGTTTCAATGCTCACCTGAGAGAAGTACGGAGGAAGGACGCAACGCTGGTCGTCGAGGCGCGAACTCTGCACTCTCTCGAGCAGCTCAAAGAGGTCCTGGGTTGTCCCCTGCAAATGAAATCGCGTTACGAGTTAATGGTATATATGCACGTGCACGTCTGGGAAAGAGGTCGTCGACGAGTCATGCAGAACGCGAAACTAATTGCCGATTCTATTAGTCCGTATGAAATGTTTTACGAAATTATCGACGGTCGTGAGACTGAAATTAATCGTATTCAGGCGAATCGTTAAGGCAACGTCGACGATCATTTTTCATATTTACTTTCTTCCAATCGTATGAATAAAGGAAGACAACCCCTCCTTTTCGATCTAAAGGCCCTAAGAAAGACCGCGATACTCCTGAAATTTCATTTAAAAAAAAAAAAGTGATCTTAGTTCTAGTTGGGCTAAATAACAAAATTTTTTTTTTAATGAAATTCACGAGCATCGCATTCTTCCTTAGGGCCTTCACAATCACATGCCGAATTTTCAAATGATTCGGTACGCCCAGTTTGGAGAAAATTGTTGCAAATATTTTGACGTTTCGACATATGGAATTACCCTTTCGTATCACCTTAACCGTTTTGAAGTTACGAAATATTTTTGGTTCCATAATATCGATAATACGTAATATCCATAGTACATAACAAAGTTGACGTACGTAGCAATGAAGTTTCCTTTAAGGGGTTGAAACACCAGATTTATTATGTCACTCCAACCTTCCATACCAAAAATGTACTCGTTTTATGATTATTTTTTCACCGGGATAGATAAAGATTAAATAACGGGGAATAAAGAAAGCCAAACGAGACCCAGATCTCAAAGGTCCAGGACGCTCACCCTTACTTTCTCGGAGGCCGTGGACCGGACGGCGATGGCCTGGTGACCGGTGCGGGCGCCGCCACCCCCGCCGCCCCCGCGAACCTCCTTCTCCGTGGCGCCCCGTGATTCGGACTCGCAGTACACCGACCGATCCAGCTGTTGTCTCCTGAAAACACATCCCCTGAGATATTAGTGTCTGGCTCGAGTCAAGGGGCCGCGGCGCCGGCACGAGAGGCGCAGGGGTGCACCCCCTGCGAAGAGCCGGCGATGCGGCCCGTCTAATGGCCGTGCTGCACGCAACCGCACGCAACCGCACGCGACTGCACGCAAAAGCATCGACGGATTCGGTAAATGCATCTGGTGGCCCAGCTGCGGACTTTCGGCTGTCCTTGACGCCCTCGCAGCCCTTAATGGGGATCTCTTAGCGTTCGATACCGACTGAGTCATCTACTTCTTCAGCTTCGTCCTCTTAAGGGGAAGTCTTAAAAGGGGCGAGGGCGAGGGGAATAATGCGACTCGGAGCAGAGATATTATGTTTGCATACCTCTTTTGATGTACTAAATGACTGGGGAAATCGTTGCGCGATGTTTGTAATACAGGGGTTGCATTTAATGTTGTCGGATAGCGGGGATAAAAAGAGACGAAAAATCGCCGTCCTCTGCTGGCAGATTTGTGTGTGGTCTTTTTATACAATTACTCGAAGTCCATCGCATAATTGTGGGGTTATTTGGTAAATTGTGGACAAATGATAATCGATCGGTTAACACGGAGGCGAATTAAATTGATTGCCTTTCTAGCCACCGGAGTGGAAATGCGATTGAGAGTTTACAATGACTTGAATTCGGCATTGTCTCGATTTACATTCTCTTTTTATTTTTTTTCTTTTATCTTTTTCAAGCCACCCCGGAACATGGACTCACCCCTACTGGACCCAGCGCCGGCTGTGAGCGAGCGAGAGAATTCCCATCGAGGAGGATCCCCAGGGATGTCAGGGGATCGGCCGGCAAGAATGAAAGCGCCAAATTCGGGGAAAGTTAAAAAACCACCCGGTCGAAAAATAACGGCTTCCGATTTGACACGACGCGTAGGAAGCAATTATTCGTCCGCACGAGCGGCCAATAAATCATGGTGGTCCGCTCGTTACTTTTCATTATCGTTAAACATCCGCCGTCCCTCTGGGCTCTCTCAAGAGACCTTTTAATTTTTTTTTGTTAAGAAAATTTAAATGAAATCCTTCCGAGAGGCGACATGTTCTCGATACATATGTGTAAAATTCGAGATACTAGCCGTTTTTGAAAATCCTATTAATTTTTGTCGTCGAACGTCTGTCGTCCCTCCGAACTCTCTTAAAAGGGCCAATCATTTTTTAAAATTAAATCTAAGGAGTAACATTTAAAGTGAAATTCTTTCGGCATACAGGTCTTCGTATGAGATGTGTAAGGCTAGATGTACGAGATATTATATTTAAATTCTAATAATAAAATAGAAAAATTGAAACGCGCCGATATCATCTTGCTTATCGAACCACCCTGTATATCGCACGTCGTTGATCCGTTTGCCGTATCTTGCGAGGAATGCTTATGTGCACTTATATGCGCATCCACGAGTTACCTCTTGCCCTCTCATTTTCTAGCTCGATCACCCTGACACGCGGTCAACCTTCCCAACATGGTCTTTAGACGAGCACGAAGTGATGGACGTGGACGTCGTAGCCGTATTGGAGGACGTCGGGGATATTGCGGCGACTGCATTTAACTTTACGACTTGGAAGAGGATGCAACACTCCCGGCAATCTTCGTTGATAAAACGGGAACGAGCAGTCGTCGGCACCACTTGTACAGGAATTGACACGGAGCCGAACAACCGATCTCGAGGAGAGAAGTTTACACGATGTAAAGTAGCGCCGAGTTGCGGAAGAAAATCCCGGATCTTTAATTCTATCGCGATCAGCGGTAGAACTACACAAATTGTTATTTACTGACCTACGTAATACCGCACGTCCACGTAAGGCCACGTAAAGCGCACTATTTATCGGGTTGTCCTCGTTTCAGATATGCACTCGATAACGAGGGAAACAAATTAACGGCAACGGAGAAAGGAGAGCGGAATATAAGGACTTTTGTCAGGAGGCAGATTAAAAAAAAAAAAAATAGGATACCCTTTAAATTAGGATAAGACTTTCCGTCCAATTTATTTATTTCAAATTACAATCCATCTTCTCCTTGACCGTTAAAAACGGCTTTTGAATTGTATAGGCTCAATTGGACAAATTGACAAATGCCCTCGCTGATGGCTGGGATTTCGTTATCCGCCGGTGGACATTCCTCGAGAGCCGGCAGAAACGTTCCTGCGGGTTTCAGCTGCGAGATGACTGCATCGCTGCATCGCCGCGTCACTGCATCACTGCATCACGGTGCCATGTCCGCGCAACGGCGGATTAATTGCAGCGAAGTTTCAATTGAGCGAGCCGCACGCAGGTTCGATACGTACGCGCATACCTTGCGCTTGAGTGCGTGCCAACGGAGTCGACGAAATTCCCTATTGGATTTCTAGGACGTCGTGATCCCGCCGACGTCCCGTCGGTTTTAATCGGATAAACTTCGCGGCGAGTTTCATGCCCAGTTTCATGGAAAATGACAACCCCGTCAGCCCCACCGGCGATTTTCCCCCGAAGCCTGCCGTCAAATTTCTTCCAAATAACGCCCGCGCATCGGCGAAAGCAATTACATTACACATCGGGGTTTAGAATGCGGACTGACGGAATTCAGACGAAATATCGACGGAATCGAGACGAGGAACGACAACGTCTTATGCGTTTCTAAATAGATATTCTGATAATTTGCTGCGTAAAAATATTTCATAATATAGACACTAGATAGATTTAAAGGAATTTTGTTAACTCTTCCTTACATTACTTTGGACGTATTTAATTACCAGTGGATATTTCTTTGAGTCAGCCAACTTCTTTTCTCAGGGTGATTCCAGGGAAAGAGGACGTTCATGAACGAGTCCTGAAAATTCAGTTTCCGCATTCCCTGCGACAAATCCTGCCGGCACAGGTGTCGACCAGCGTGACGACACATCTTGGATGACTTTTCATCGTTAGGACGACACCGATCAGGAAAATGGCACGAGCCCTCCCGTGGCGGCTAAGCGTCAGTTCGAAATACAGTTTTTCGCAGGTCGCGACCCCCGAACAGATGTCCCACGGGAGCGAGAATAATAGGCACGTTAATACGGCACCACCTCGGCCCGCGGATGATGGATCGCGCTAGATTGGCCCTTCATTGCCCTCGCCGTCCACCTCGGCCCGAGAAGAGGAGAGGGGAAAACACGCCCGGCTGCCTATTCCGAGGCTGTCCAACATAAAATAGTCATCGAACCCCTCATTATGCTGGCGAGGATGCACACCCGGTCGCGGACCTACCAAAGGGTTGCCGCAGGTTGTCGCGGACTCGAGCCGAGCTTGACTTTCGGCTTAAACGATCAACGGTTGCATAAGTCCATTGACGGTTCGACTCGGGGGTGATCGGATCGTAGGGGATGGTTTTTTTTTCTTTTCTTTACAGGAGCATTTCATTTATGATTAATCCTACATAGAATTCCGATCATTGCGAGGTGTGTACGCGGAGGGGGAAGCGCCTGCATTTAGCCCGTTCAGGGTAAAACGGCATTGCATAGGGAGAAATAGCGCATACATCGGTCATGATGCACCGAAAAGTGAACACCTGGCCGCCGATCAAAGGAAGGGTAACCGCAGGTTCGTTCAACTCGAGATTGGTTTGCCTTTCGGCTCAAACGATCAGCGGTCGTATTGTTAATGGTTCGACTCGAGGGCGATTCGAAATCGAAAGGAATATTTTTTCAGACGTGATTGAAAATCGGGGGGCATGTTTTTTTCTCAGTCATATTTAATATCTGTGATTTTATCCGGTTTGAAGAAAGCGCGACTTCAACCAACGCCGTATATTACTTTTGTATAATAAATATTTATACGTTGAGATACGTGAGAATAATTCCGTTTATATCATTAATCGGAATTCTTTCAACGAAACCCATTGGGAAAAGGCTCGGGTCCCTTTATCACTCCAACTCGCTGGCAATTCAAAAGTAACCGCAGGTTGGTTTGGTTTGACTTTCGGCTTAGACGATCAACGGTCGTATCGTGAATACTTAAGTTGTCCTTTTTATATTTTATTTGAATAATTCTGCATACGATAAAGTATACATGAAGGGAGAGAAAGAAAACGTCAGGTTGCTTATATTCTGAACCTGAAATAAAATTGATTCGATGACTTACGCCCGATTTAGGGATTACGGCAGATTGTGTATGCCCCCCGATAGAACCTGAAAGATTAGCATAATTCCGTCGCGAATGCAGTTTCTCACCCGATAAACTTTTCATCTAGATAATTTTCGGCGACACTCGAGATTACACCGAGAACATGGCGTTAAAGTAGGATTATCGCGTAATGAGATCTCTTCCTCCTGAACTTCCACCGTGTACCCGAGATAATTAATTCTCGCCGAGGTTGATTTATCGGTTTACATGACATGTAGGTAAACTCCTTTATCGCGATCGGTAACTCTGAAAAACATTTTAATTTCACGCCTGATAGCGTATCGAAAAACTTCTTTTCCGCTATTTTCTTTCATTTAAGTAATATTAATACTCCTCTCAAGATGAGATAATTCGCTGGAAATATTCCTTATGGACATCGCGCAAGAGAAAAAAAAAGAAGGCTTGCAGACTGTATCGAGTCAAATCACGCGCTCGATTTCGTAATTCGTTCAATAATGTAGAACGCGTCCGTGCAGTTTCCTCGACACGGTAAGGCTTACCGCATCGCTATTATCGTCCTTAGGGACTCCTTTTACAGCAAGGTCCATGTTAATAATCGACGCCCGAGTTGGCGAGCTCTGCTTTGGGAAAGCGAACGGCAGAGACCGAGTTATCGAGTGCTGCCTGCAAGAGAATCGATCAAGATCAGCCTGTCCGAGTGTTTGGCAACCGGATAAACGATCACCCTACGTCGTGCCGTTTCTTGCCAAATTTTTACGCAATTCATAATCGCGCCGAGACGCCGAAGAAAGGAAGTTCAACGACTTCCCTCGGTACTTTGGAAATTGTAATACATTAAAATTTCCCGAATAAATTTCACCTGT